AACAATTCTTGTTGCTAGAACTCACTAGCTTGTTGTCAGTGTTAGAGTCTTCTTGTAACCACTATTCGAATTTGGCCCTACCGCAAGTATTCGACCGAATACCGAATAGTTATTAGGTCCACTATTCGGCCCTGAAGCGAATACGAAGCGAATGTTCGGTACAGCTCTAGTTCTAACCACGCCCATCTCTATTTATATAAATACAGTCGGCCAAAATGCAAGAGCCACCACAGATATGAAATCAAAGTTAAATGCATTTGAAAATAAATCATGAACATAGAATGGGAAGAATTCAAAAAGAGTGAGGAGATGAGAGAAATTACTGGACGAATACCTGTATCGATCGCAATAAGATAATGGAGGTGGAGAAAAATTGGTTACACTGAGACGAATCAGGTAAAGAATTACAAAACAGGCACTGAAATGAGAAACAATCGATAGGAGAAAAAGAGGACGTCCACAGGAAACATTAAGAAGAACATTATTACGACAAGCAAAAAGCTCTGGGTTGAACTCCACTTCAGAAATTGAGAAAGTTGCATGCATGAGTGGATTGGAGAAATCGACGGTGAGCCCTATGTGACATCTAATGGCACACAAAGATGACGATGATGATGAATATTCTTAGGCATTGCATGTGAAAGCTATTTAGCCATTTCTTCTGGTGATTAAAAGCTGACCACGTTTCACCGCCATAAAGCACCTATCCTGATGTTGATTTCTTGGTCCAGTGATAGTTTGTCATTCACTGTGGATCCCAGATAGGTAAAGTGGTCAACTGTCTCCAGCTCTTCACTATCAGTGTAGACTGCAGCTCTTTCATTAACACTCTGCACCATAATTTTTGTCTTTTTTTTTGTAAGTGTGTGTGTGTGTGTGTGTATGTGTGTGTGTAGGTGTTAGTCCACATTCACAGCATGCATCAGCAAATACAGAGAGTAAACATTGCAGCGCCTCCTCTGAGTGGGTAGTACATGCTGATTCATCTGCAAACAGCAGCACTCTCATCTTCCTTATTCCGGTTGTGGCCTTTATCCTACGAACATTGTAAAGGCTGCCCTAAGATCGAAAATGAAGGAATACACCATCCTCCTGATCTTAAAAGGCATGTTTCAAAAGAGGAAGGAAGCATATTTTTCATCACATACAGCGACAGTATATGCAAGGATGCCAAGACCTGGAACGAAAATATTAGTAACATCAACGAATTTCTCTTAGCTGATGACCAGCCTTGATAGCAGATTCAGCCATGAAATTGCAACAGTGTCTAACGTCTGCAGGTGAAGAATGTAAACATAATAATATGAGAATCAAAACAGAAAAGACCAAGGTAAAGTCAATGGGAAGAGAGAAGCAGCCATCAACTGAATAAAGCATTAGAGTGCAAAGATATTTAACAGGCATCTGAGTTTAAATAGGTACCTGGGAACAGCATTCACTGAAAAGGGGAAATTGGATTAATAAATTAACATCAAATGCAGTAAAGCAAACCAAGCACTGGAGTAGCAACCCCCCCCCCCCCCTCCCTCCCATTAGAGCACAAGACAATTTTGATCAGCACAACGAAACATCACAACAGACAAAGCATATTCAATCCCACTCTATGTGTTAGTGCCAAACAGAGCCATTCACAACAAACTAGAAAAAAAAAAATAGTAACCATGGATATGAGATATCTGAGAAGCCGTAGGAGTGACCAGAAAAGAGAAAATCAGGAATGAGGTCATATAGGAGAAAAAGCTGACATCGTTTCCATTCTAATGATTCATGTAAACAGCAAATCAAATGGTCTCCCCATTAAGGGAGAATGCCTTACGATGTTATACCAAACATACATATAAGAAAAGAGAAGAAGGACGAAGAGCACAAAGTAGACCGAGACATCATGACAATAGGACTAGATATCATAGTAATGGTTGGCGAACGCATCGTAATGTAGGGTTCGATCCCAGCAGCCTTGCGTTGGTTTCGACAGTGGTATCAGGGGGCAATGGCAAACTACTGGACGTAAATTTGCCTAGAGAAACCACACATCAGCTAGGGGCTGCTGGGGTTGGTTCTGCAACGTCCTGCAAAGGATAGGCAGCTAACCTTTTTAAGACTAATCATAGTAATAGGACCGAAGCATTTACCGAAGATGGGAAATTGGATAAAGAAATTAACATTAGATGCAGTAAAGCAAACCAAGTATTGGGACAGCTAGCCCCCCTCTTACAGCATAAGACAATCCCAATCAGCACAAAGAGACATCTTATCCAAAGCATATTTATTCCAACTCTGTGCTACCAGTGCCAGACATGGTCACTCACAACAAACCATAAAAGAAAATTAGTAACCACGGAAATGAGATGTCTGAGAAGGGCTGTAGGAGTAACCATAAGAGATAAGATCAGGAATGAGATCATAAGAGAAAAAGTCGGCACAGAACCAATTCTAAATTACATACGAAGACAGCAAGTGAAATGGTTTGCCCACTTGGAGAGAATGCCTTGTGACACCA